CGCGATGCAACGCACCGCGTAAAAAGACAGTATAAGTCATTATAATCCGTAATTATGTCCCCACTGGATGCAACAAATGCCTAGTTTATAATGGGTTTTAATGTTTTTGTCTCATCGCTCTGGCTGGACAGGGCATCACAATATGTTAGGGGCATAACATTTCCGTCACACGCTTGAGGTATTCGGCCAATCACAACACACTGGATAGCTGGCCAATCAGAGCACACCTCGCTTTTCAGACTGATGAGCTTTGTAAAAATCGACGCGTTTCAGAAAGGCGGGGCATAGAGGAGAAACAATAATGTACAGTATGTGGAAAATAATGTGTTTTTTTAACCTTAAACTGCATAAACACATTTCATTACACTAAATACACAAAATAATGTTCTTTTTAGCAGCATTATATTACCCCTTTAAGACATATTATTTATGATTTTCTTTTCTACTCTGGTTTTATGTTTTATGGGAGATTAATGAGTCAACCCTCTCTGTAATGACAAACTCTGCTCTCCATCAAGCGAAGCCACAGTTTGTTTTTGGCACTGCAGGATGAGTAATTCTCAGGTTGTATTCACAAGATGCTTGAAATGACATTACACTATGCAGAAAGAAAGAAGCTGACAATCAAATGTGGAGGATGAGTCAAGGCCACGCGATTTCAAGCTGTCTATTCCCTACAATTGTATATCAAAATTCAGATCATACCACTGATAAATATACTCAACTGCTTATTTAGGGTAAAAAAAAGCCATAAAGTAAATTCTTCTGTTATCAATTAATAATTATTTATATATATTATCTTAATTGAATTAATTAGCTATGGAAAAATAACACAATTAAAATATTTTAATGCAGTTAGTGCACTGGCCCCGCCCCCAGACATGTACGTCATCTTACATTTCAAACAGTTGACTGCTGACAAACATGATGCAGGGCAATAACTCACTGCCACCCTCATGTAGTCCATACATGAAGTTATATGCCCCTAATATTCAAGATATTGGGGCAAAAATGCCCCTGTACGTTTTTGTCTCATGTTTACATCAAATGATGATAAGCGATTTCACACAAGCAACTAGAGCAATATCACACCAGTGCTGTTTTTGTCCCGAATAACACGAGTACATGTGCGTGCATTCCTCTGCTCATAAACAAGGCACAGCGCATGCATATTCTATGCCAGCAGCAGCACGCGATAATGACGGAAGAAGGTCACTTGGAAGAGAAGAATTGTTGAATAAACTCGTTATTTTTGTTTTCTTTGCACACAAAAAAGTATTCTTGTCGCTTTCGTAAAATTCTGGTTGAACCATTGATGTCACATGGACTATTTTAACAATATCCTTACTACGTTTTTGGGTCTGGGAGCTTTTCAGTTACATCGCTCTCTATGGAGGGTCAGAAAGCTCTCTGATTTCATCAAAAATATCTTAATTTGTGTTCTGAAGATGAACGAAGGTCTTATGGGTTTGGAACAACATGAGAGTGAGTAATTAATGACAGATTTTTTTTGGGGTGAACTAACCCTTTCATTCCTGAATCGAATGCATGAATGAATGACTCAATGACTTACTTATAAAGATATTTACCGCCACCTACTGGCAGTTTTAGTTTCTTATTTAGAGTGTAATTTCGTTAACAATGACTTTCATTGGTTTGAACAAAAAATCCTCTTTTATGTTCCAGTTTCTTAGGCCGCTGTAGCCGAAATGTTTATGTATATGCATTTTATGTTGAATCAAATAAAATATTTCTTCCCAAAGCTACTTTTGTTTTGTAATGTCAACCTAATGTTTTTTCTCATTTAACCCAATAATGGCTTTAAATGATCTTTTAGGGGTTTTTTTCACAGCCAGATTTTATTTGTGACTAATGAAATTAATTAATCGCCACATCATGTAATTAATTACATAAAAAATGTAATCGATTGACAGCCCTAATTGTAATGTACATTTTACATATGTAAAAATGAAATAACATTCATTATCAAATCTGATTGTTCATATGGTATCGCTATCACTGCATTTTTTGTATCACCTAGTTTTAGATTGTTGAGTGGACTCAGCTGAGAGTGGATTTGCCTGGAGCGATTTTTGTTGTAAAGTTGGAGAGTCTGTATTTTATACTTATTTTCTTTTGCGATTGGAGGCAGCTATGTAAGTTCATCTGCAGCGAGGAGCGTTTTTTCTGCCTGTTTACTTGTCGAGTGAATACACCAAAATCTCTGTTGCTCCTCTGCTCAATATCAACTACTCGTTAATAGTTATACAACTGTGTATAAAATCAACATCACACTCCCAATCATGATGTGATGAGTATGTTTGTGGTGTGATATAAATTCCAAGTACTCAAGGATGGGTTATGGCCCAATGGGACAAGGTCTTCGTTTCTCCCATTACAGAGGCCTACAGTGCCCAAAGTACTTATAAGTGTCCTCCAGGTTGTCTCTTCTGCATAAGTAGTCTGCTCGTTCTTGTATTTGCAACTTTATTTTTCATATTTGGGAAGTACTTTTTCGTTATTTGGGTAGTAGGGATTATATCTTGCAACAATCCATTTTTGGATGATGGATGCTGCCCGTTGATGATTGTGTTATGTAGCGTCTGGACCAATCAGACACACCATTTTTCATTTGATTTAACAAATCAATTATTCATTAGATTAACAAACATTCACAGACATCCTCACCCAATAAACATACTGTACCTACCATGTTTAGTATCTATGAATTCGCCTTCTGATGATCTAAATGAGCGTGTATATTATATGTTGGTACATAGGCAATATATTAGTGTCTGGAGAATCTTTAGTAATTTCGATTCAAGTTCCATATGCAAATGCTTCCACACAAAGGGTCATAAACTCCCCAGTATTTCCAAACTCCCACTTGGAATTCCGGCCTTTCTCATTGGACAAGCCAATCTTGAGAGGCGTGAATCTTCTCAGACCTTAAAGGTCTCACATCAGTGACCCGCCCTAGAGTCGGTGGTTTTGTTGAATTCTGAGAAGATGAAAATGTGAGCTACAACGGTCCAGGACACCCTAAGTTTTGTGCCAGGCCTTTGGCCTTGCCTTTTCCTTTCACCAAGATTCTCTGACGCAAACTGGTTCTTTTTCATCACCCAACTTCAGCAAAGATCAACGTGAGCCTTCAGATTGCATCAAGCCTCTCTTTCAGACAGACGAGACGTGCAAGTATTCAAACTTAGTCTTATTAATTGATACATTAAGTATCATAACGCACCTTTTTACAAAGGTAAAAAGTTTGAACTAAGAATCTGATGTTTCCTTCAGGCTGTAAATCTGCTGAATATGCAAATGGTTCCATAACTTCATTCCTTATTTCTCTCCTCTTTACTGCTTAAGCTTTAACCCTTTCCTATACCGTGTGTGTGTGTGTGTATATGTGTATGTTAGACCAGTTTGTGTTTATGTGTATGTTAGACCAGTTTAAGTGTTTATGTAGTATGTTAGACTAAGTGTTTATGTAGTTAATAAAGTCTTACTTGTATCACACTTGACGTTGTTCATTGTTTGCTCATAACTGGAGCCCTAATCATGCAGATTTATGCTACAGGCTCTGTGTAGAGTTGTACAGTAAGAAAGTTATTTCCCTTAACCAGGAAATTAACGTTCTTAGAATTGACAGACAGTTGACCCTGAGAGGTCAAGTAAATATCTACAGCGGATCTAAATATTTACAATTAATTATAACTAGTTATGATTAATTATTCATATTTCCCCATGAGCTGATTCACTACAGTTATATAGAGCAAGAATGTTATGTTATGATAAAACCACTTTTAATAATCTACCTTTTGGTAAAATAAACAGTAAGACACACAAATCTGTGTACAATGAAAACAAAATTTTAAATTCCAACTTGCAAGACACTTTATATAGAACAAAGAACTGTATATATATTTTTTAATTGAAATAAATACGGGCTTATTACAATTAAACTCCAAAACTTGATAGTACTTAATAATACAAATGTAAACATTGCCCTCGCAAGTACAATTAATTATACAAGTTAAAGTTACTTTGATATGTTTTCTTCAAAACAAAACAAAACAGCAATTTTATGTATTCTTGTCTGTCTCATTTTAGAGGTGTAGTTCCCAGGTGACTTTTTCTGTTTCAATTCAAAACAAAATCAAAGCTGTATTTTAGCTGCAGTGATACACAACTACACACAGCATATGAACTCAAATGAACCCATTTTAAGCTAACAGTATGCATTTTTTACATTCTTTGTGCATTACTGTTCTTTTGAAGCTTGAGAAAGCTTTAGTTCACGATTCAAGTGCTTGCATTTCTTAACTGTTTACACTTATACCATTTTGTTTAATGTAGAGCTTCTTTAAAGTAGCTTATAAAATAAATAAATCTTAGTTACTAACATAAAAATATATATAAAACGCAGGCACATTTGTACATAGCTAGTAGACATTGCTATGGCTTATGGGTGTGAAATTGATAGAGGGAAGACAAGACCAGACAAAAGAAGATAGAGAAGGTTTCATTTGGTACATTTCTTCAGCAGGCCTGAAGCGATGGTCTTTACTGCTCTCATGGTCTCTGTGCAAGTTGGGTTAATCAGGGCTTCTGGCAGCAGGAAGCCGAAGTAGCCCGTATCACGCAACTCAAAGGCAAAGGCGTATGGTATCCCGTTCTTGTAGGCCCAGTCTATTGAGCTACCAGAACTCATATCTGCAATTTAAAGAAATGCATTACATCACATCTGGACATCTGACTGTTGTTGATATAGAAATAGTCATGATGAGTCAGACAACAGACTGGCATCTATCTGAGAGGGCATACAGAGAGCTGATGACTCATACATGCAGCAGCTATATGTCATTGATTGAAGAAAAGGCCGAATTGCCTGACTTACAAAGTGTGGTGGAGGCAGGGCCGTATCTGTATCTCACTCCATAAGCTGAGTATAGAGCGCTCACTGCATTCTGAGCTGCTGATTCCTGAGGGGGAAGAGCAGAGGTTCAAATGTGCTTCAAGTATTGGTCCAGTCAATCATTAAGAATGCTTGGAGATAAGTGTAGTCAAAAGATTGTGTGGGCTAACAGCCATCCAGTCGATATATGTGTAAACTGCACTGAGGCAAGCCCGAAAAATTCCATATTCTTAATGAGGAGTTTAATGTTTTGCCCTCTGGCAGATTATATTGAGCTCTATCTTTTTAAAGGCTGAATCACTCCAGGGTGCAAATTATTTTGCAGTGTTTACTACGGAAAAGTGTGAAGACATTGTTCTAAATTAAATGCAGTATTT